AAAACAAAAATCCTCTTTTTGACGGAAATCGCCCGGACATTGGTGGAAGGGTTATCTAGTGCTGGGAGTTCAATATTTCCAAAATTTACAAGGATAAATATGTAAAACCACATTTTTTATTTTAAATATCTTAATTGACCGAACTCAAGTTGACCCAACCGAACCGAACGCGAACCCGTCACACTAACGTCATGGTCCAATAAGGAAAGCATATCAGCCGTTGGATCCAAATCGAACGGCAAAGTTGGGCACTCGTCGCATCAGTGCGCAGTCTAGGGTCTATAAAAACATCGCGCGTTCTGTGGCGTATCGCGATTCCTCGGTAGGGCTTTCTTCCACCCAGAACCCTCGCGGAGGCTGGTGGTCAGTCTTCTACACTTCGCTTCCTGATCCGCTTCTGGTGGTGCGCTTCTCCAATTCCATAATGTTTCTTTCGATCCATCTGTTGTTGATGGATGAGCTCATTAAATTTTGTTTTTTCTTGAAGGATCGAAGGAAGAAAGAGAGACATCTGAGCAATGAGGTATCGCAAGATCTGATTTTTCTCATATGGCTTGATATACTTCATATCGTTTTTTGGCTATTATTTTCTTGTATTTTTTGGGTCAATATCTTGTCGAACGAATTGCTAGTTGTTGCTGTAGAGAATCTTAGGAGCCATGCAAATGGTCCATTCTGTTATATATGTCTCGGTGAATGTAGGATAACGAATTATGTGTGAGCGATTAGTTTCTCGAGCAGCGCGCTTAAATTTCTTTTTATGTCGTTCATCAATATGTGTCGAGAACTAGCAGCAGACACTACAGATCGTTATTTTCTTTTTTTTTTAGCTTATTTACTCTCTTAGCACTTCTAGGCATACACGTTCTGTTGTTCTTTTTTCTGTTCATGATATTTGTTCTGATGTATCAAAGAAGTGAACATGATAGATTGATCACAGCAAACAGCAGTTCTTTAAGGTTGTTTGTAATTATTAAATGATTAATTAGAAGTTGTAGATAATTTAAATATTATGTTTGATAAACATAATAAATAATTGGCCTAGTAGTATTCCTTTGTGCTTAGATAATATATAACATGCATTCAATTTGCCTTTAATTTTGATTTGTGGGAGACAATTTCAGCCTTCTAAGCTTTGCCTATCATTGTCTAGAAGTTTTTTTTTTCTATTAGTCATGTGAGGATTTATTTTTTTTTAAATGTCATTTGGAAACTCATTACTGGTGATCTGTTGTTTTCTTGCTCTCTTCTATTTGTACTGCATTTTTAAATTGTGCAGATTTATTCATTGTTTTGTTTCGTATTCATTTTTTCTATGTACTAATTACTTTATAGATTCTGTACTGCATTTGTAGTTTCATCCTAATGTGGTTATTATGTTGAACTCACTTTTCAAGCACGTTGTTATCATCACAGCAAATTACAGAGTGATGTCCTGAGGGAAGCAATCTCCCAGGTTGTTGGTGATTCTCGGGAGAAGAAACGGAAATTCACCGAGACAGTCGAGTTGCAAATTGGTCTGAAAAATTATGATCCTCAGAAGGACAAGCGTTTTAGTGGGTCTGTAAAGCTTCCTCATATTCCTCGCCCTAAAATGAAAGTATGCATGTTGGGAGATGCTCAACATGTCGAGGAGGTAAAGCATATTGGTATTTTATGTATGTTTATTTATGGATTTCTTTTGGTATAAGAATTATTTAGTGTCCCTTGTTTTAATGTCTCCTGATCCATTAGAGTTATACTTTTTTAATTCCTGTAATCATTAACTGGCTCATTACTCACAGGATGGTCTTCTCTGTGAATCATAGATTCAAATGCTGGAAGGTCATGGTTTATCGTTTATTGTGGTCAACTATGTATTTAGTTGTGTTGCTCTGCTGCTAAAATGAGTACCAATCAGTATTACCTAATGTTTTGCATCTACCCCCATCAGTCATGCTGCAGACATATTTGTGTTGTTTGCATGTGTTTGATTTCAATGTAGCTCTTGAAAATATCTGCAACAATGAATACAACCTATATGATGATGATATGAATGGAACATTTCAAATCTATTTTCACCTTATCTTGACATGAGAACAAAAATATTTTTTCTGTTAAATATCATGATCTCCATTTTTTTTACTTGTGGATACTTATAGTTCTGATTCTTATGTTTTCGTGCACATCTTATTGCAGCACGTTATTCTAATGCTTGCTTTTATCGCCCCCAGGCAGAGAAGATAGGGCTAGATTATATGGATGTTGAAAGTTTGAAAAAGATGAACAAAAATAAGAAGCTGGTTAAGAAACTTGCTAAAAAGCACCACGCTTTCCTGGCATCAGAGGCTATCATCAAACAGATTCCTCGTCTTCTTGGCCCTGGTCTGAACAAGGCAGGCAAGCACTATGGCTTTTAACTTTTACTGCATCCTCAATGCATCTGATCGGACAACTACTTTTTTATGCTGGTGGAAATTTTAGCAAATCATAACAAGGTTTAAGTTATCATATTTTAACAATTTTCTTCAATGTAATCTTGTTTGAAAAATGAACATTACAGTGACATATAACATAGTCAATTAATGGTTATTGATCAGTAGCCATTCATGAGTCAATCAGCAAGTTCACGAAGCCATCTATTTAAGAATAAAATATCATAGTAGAGAGCAATTATTGAATTATTTTTTGGGAAGTTAAACAAGTGTATATTAGAAGGGTTTATTTTGTTGCAATTACTTCTTTGAATCCCTAAATAGCTTTTTGGCCCTTTGGAAGTTTTATTCATTTCAGTTGGTATACTTATTGAAATAAATATGTATAGTTTCCATATAATGAGAATATCATCATTAGCAACAACAACAACAATATCCAGGAGTAATATTCCAACTTAGTTAGATCAATTAAAGGCGCTATATGAAAAGCAAAATAATTTTGGGAGTGGCACTGACGTTAGTGATATTTTGTTTTATTTGAGGTTGGTTTTAATGATCTCAAACTATGCTCCATTTATATGAGAATGTTGTTTGGGGTATTGGTAAGAAAAACTATAATTAATCTTACCACTTAATGTTAATTGCATCTTAATGAAAATCTATTCTGATGCTTGATTGTTATTGTTTTTGCCATGGCCCTTTGTTCATCTTACTTCTTGGGTAGGTTTCAATCTCCATTAGATTCAACTCGAAATCTTCCAACAATCTTTTTGAAATTTGATCATGTGTGTACATGTGTTCTTGCTCTTCTGTTAGTTTGTTGAATTTAGATCTCTGTATTCTAGGTTGACCGATATACATTTATATATGTTCTCCTGTATGTAGTTTCTGTTCTGTTATATCTTACTCATCTCTGGTTGTCTTTTAATTTGATTTGCTATGCAGGGAAATTTCCCACTTTGGTCACTCACCAAGAATCTTTAGAGTCAAAAGTTAATGAGACAAAAGCAATGGTAAAGTTTCAACTCAAGAAAGTTCTTTGCATGGGTGTTGCAGTGGGTAACTGTGCAATGGAGGAGAAGCAGATCTTTCAGAATGTGCAACTCAGCGTGAATTTCCTTGTCTCTTTGCTGAAAAAGAACTGGCAAAATGTGGGTTCTTGTCATCCCTGTTAGTTGATTTTTTTTTCTCTTGTTTCACTATTTTCTCTTAGAATTAATCATCATTCAAACTGGTAGGTTTTTTTTTCTAATTGGTACCAAGGGTTTGTTTTGTTTGATGCTTATAGAAATCAATCCAAATTACTCATTGTTTTTATTGATGTTTTGGATTATTCAACTTCCTTTTGCTTCTTTACTAATTTTGATTAAATTTTGTAGAGCTTGTAACAATATATTATTAAGTTTCTTTCTAGAAAAACAACTTTATTAGTCTTTTTCCTTGGCTTATTGGCATTAGTGTCTTTGACGCTGAAATGACTTTTATTGACAGGCTTAGATGTTTATTTTGTTTGCGTTCCAATTTTTCTTTCTTATTTGTTCTAGTTTTCATACTAAAAAAAACTCGTGTTGATCTGTAGTGACTGCTTTGTGTTAAAATATAGACTGTATTTTTTGTCCCGTAACTGATGTCTGGTGGTTTACCAGGTGAGATGCTTGTACCTGAAGAGCACCATGGGGAAGCCATACCGAGTGTTCTAAGTTAGCTCCTTTCTCAGGCTGGTGATCCATAAAATCTAAATTCTACTTTATCTTCCATATTTTGTTCATTAAGCAGTATTGAAGGTCTAGGTTTATTAAAAGCTCATGTTCTGTTTGGTGTCAACATCCATCAGAAGGTATTTATTCTTGTTATGCTTCTAATATTTCGGTGGACATTTGAGTTTTATTCATCTTTTTGTGAACATTTGCAGCCCTTTTCCCTTCTGTCGGCTCATTCAAGTGTTTGTGATTGAAAACTGAAGAACTTTTAAGAGTCGCTCCTTGTTAATCTTTGTAGTTGATTCCGGGTGTTCAATGAAGATTAGGTTAGCCACTTCGTGGTTGTCTCTGTCGAGACATCACAACGTAGTTATTTATGGAAGGAAATTAGTTTATAAGAAGTTAAATTATAGTTGACCATTCGTCAAAGGATCAACTAGAAATAAGGTGTCCAAAAGCGTTGATGCAAACGATTGGCTTTCCAGGAGGCCGAAGCAAATGTCAATTTTAGTGATGTGCGGGTAAATTGCAGTAACTTTCAGGGAAAAAGAAGGTAAGAATTTGACATCTTTTTAATTATATTAATGTATTTTACAAAAGGTAAAGTGGGATCTTGTAATGATTAGGTAAGGTTTTTATTAATTAAGTTAATCAGCACTTTCAAATGCATTAATATTGTATTGTCTGCTCTAGTTATAGTGATAAATAAATAATTTTTCATGATGAAACAAATAATAATATCAATAATAAATCATTTCTCTGGCCAAAAGCTGCTCTTATAATATGAGAAAACTACTGGCATCCGAGTCTGCCACGTGGTATCATCATTGATACTTGTTTTTATTCGATGATTTTTTTATGACATTGTGGTGGTCAGTAGTATTTTCAAGCATACTGGCATCTTCGTCCACGTGGCGCCCACGTCGAGAGGACAAGAGAAGTCGTCTCCACTACCGTCACTCCGTGGCGGAGCCCGTCGGAATCCCTAACCCGCCCAACGCAACCGAACAAGCTTTTCATACGGGTGGGTCCCGCACGTAGCCAAGGACGGCCGTAGGAAAAGCGTGTCGATCAATTCTTCTTACGACTCACAACCTTCTATGGCGAAGGGAGAGGTTAGCGGCGGTGGGGGCCACCGAAACGCTTGGTGATGATTGGCTGGATCCCCTCGACCGCGCGCCGTGCGCCGCATCGAATCCGAGCTGGAAGAGATGAGGGGGATACCCTATCTGCCGTTTCTCGTGTTGGGGCACTCTTCGATCGCCCGCTCTCTCGAAGAGGATTCCTGGATCTTCCTTCGCCATCTTCCAACCCTCTCTCGATTTCATCCGTGGGTACCCGATTCCTCTTCTTCTTTCTTTTTTCATTTACTCTTCATTCTTGTTTTTGTTGATCCATTTCGATTTCTGGATTGCAGCAGATGAACGTGCTCCAAGTGCTTATTTTCTGGTTATAAATGCTATACTTATATTTCTCTGGTAGGGATTTTGCTCTTTCCATGTTTTTTTCTATACACACGCAAGGCTAAGCATCCTTCACAGAACAATTCCCCTCATATATATATTGTGGTACTAGGGAAAAGAAGCCACCTTTGTGTGTGTGTAGGACTGGAAATAGGAAAAGGAATCCAGGTTAGATTGATGCGATGCCGTTAGTGGAAGTTTTTCGGGGATAATATGTTAAGAATCTTGCTGTGGATACTTAGAATTGATGTCGACACCATGGTGTGATCTGGGATAGTCATAACATGGCTAGATAAAAATTGGTTCTTGATAGTAATATCGCTATAATGCAGCCAGAAAAGCTAGTGGAGCTCATGTCATCTTGCATTCCTCTGAAACTGCTGTTTGCCACATGCAAGTTTTGAGATCTTATTTCGCAAAAGATGCAACTCTTTTGTGTGTACAATGATGACCAGGTTCACCAAATGCATATCTATTTTGTTTGTCCTGAACTTCTTCCGATTCAAAAGGAGCCTTGCAGGGTTATTCACCTTTTGAAGCACCAACTTATAGTTTTTGATTTGGCTTGTAGACAACTATTAGATTCTGCATGCATTTAATGGAGACAATAAATTTCTCGTCGGATCAAAATTTTGGCAATTCTGTTGTTGTTTCAGCTGCCTGTTCAACTTATAGTACATTTCTGATGGACGTTCTTTTCCCCTAGCAATTAAACTGCAGTGAAAGAGAAGCACAGAATTTCCTTAAGAATTAGATAAGGACTAATGTTCTAAAGTTGATCGCAGGGATGATGGCTCATCGCTAGGTCATCCATTTGCATTCTAAATTAGATTCTTGTTTCTTTTGTTTGAGGTTGTCGTGACTAGTGCTATAAGACAAGGGATTTGAGAAGTGTTTCATACATGATGTCAATGACAAAAAGACTGTTCTTTTTATTTCAGTGCAAATTTTCTTTTGTGCTGTACAAGTACAAACAATGATTTAGGATTCTGGTACCGAAAGAGAATATTTCTGTGCACAAATGTGAAACTTCAATTGTATCTCTACCTGGACCTCATGCTACCCTCAAGTCAAGTGTTGCATGTGCATCACATCCAGAAACAATTGATTGGCCTTTCTACCGATCAAGCATTGACAAATACTTCGATGATTATTATATATTTATATTCCTGCATTCAGTTCTTGGTGACAGATACTTAAAAAATAACAGAAACATAAATCATCCATGCATCAACCTGAGGATAATTGCCCACCTTTTTGTAGTACAAATGTGTCCACTGGCCATAATAGATGCAAGACTGTATTATCAATCTATGAAACTTTATGGGCCGATTGTGGATGAAGTTGTGCGCAAGGATTCCTGGCTTGCCTAGTTCTGAATGTTCAGCTCTGTTGGTTTGAGCAGCAACTATTAAGTCTTATCTGTGCACAATCATTTCCATGTGAGGACTAGTGAATTTGTACCTCCCTTACATGTCTATTTGATCATAAGTGTCATGCTTTCACCTAATTGCACGTACCAAGTAGACACTTTGATCTGGTGCCAAAAAATACTAGTTCTGTAATGAACTGATTGTATTAGTTGTCTATTGGACAAGCTTTTGTCCAGTCGATATAATGATACTCTTTTCTAATTTGTTTTGGGTTTTCAGGAGACACAATGGTGACAATTGCTCTCCCATCTTCCTGTATGCTCAAGAGCAGCTCCAAGGGCTGGCTTTCTTCTGTGTTGATTAGGAGTCCATCCTCGCTTAGCTCCTTGAGGTGTATCACAAAAACATCAAGCTTAAGGATGGCCAACCGCTTCAGGGCATCGGCTATGGCCGTTTACAAGGTGAAGCTCATTGGACCAGAGGGGCAGGAGCATGAATTTGATGCTCCAGATGATGCCTACATTCTGGACTCAGCTGAGACGGCAGGAGTGGAGCTGCCGTACTCATGCCGTGCCGGTGCGTGTTCCAGCTGTGCAGGCCAGATGGTGTCTGGTGCTGTTGATCAGTCAGATGGATCCTTCCTTGATGATTCACAGATTTCAAAGGGTTACATGCTGACTTGTGTTGCCTATCCCATGTCAGATTGTGTCATTCAGACACACAAGGAAAGTGATCTGTACTGATGGCCGTTGATCAGTTTGTTGTGCTTCACTCTTCCTTTGGTTTGAACCTTATCAGACTGTATTGTGGGTCAGGTTTTTGTTGCGTTCAAGAATCTGCTGTTTCTTACAAGGATTTTAATCTCAATAGTTTGTTCCCAGCATCATATTCCTATGCTCCATCTAATTCCAGATGGATAAGATAGTTTCTTCTTTACTTGGTTATGATATGGGCTTGGAAGTTCCAAATTTTGTTTGAATTTCCATGCAAATTATGATATCTAAGTTTGAGTTTCCCTAATATTTTTCTACTCTGATTTTTAATTTTTTTGTATAGAAATCTTGTACAAATATTATGATATATATATATATATATATACCTTGATTCATCTAGACCGAAAATAAAAATAATATCATTCAATTGTTATCAAATTGACTGAATTTAAATTTCAAATGCAATTTTTTCGATTATGAAAATGTAGTAAAGATCATTGAAACTATGCAGATTCTTTTGCAACAAGTAGTTTCTGAACCTCTTCTTAATGGAACACTCAGAGGTGTGTCTACTTTGTGCTCTTCTCACAATCATCTCCTCTCAGAATCCTCTTCATCTGTTCCACAAGCTCCTGCATCTGCTTCCTCGAGTGGAGCGGCGAAGGGTACACGCAAGCACAGTCGAGCTGGCCATCTCGGATCGTATCGAACACGGCGATGGAGGGGCCGACCCCATGGGCGGAAGCACAGCCGACGTAGTCGTCCAAGCCGAGCTGGTGCTGCAGCGCCGCCGACGACTCGTACACGACGGGCTCTTCGAACACGGAGACGAGCGCGGTTCTGAGGGCTGAGGAATTGGTGAGGTGGGGGTGATCGATGGCCCTGCCCATCAGGTAGTTCACCTCGCCGATGTCTTTGAGATGCTTCTTGTTGGTCATGGCGGTGGAGTAGGAGCATTGGCATCTCTCCGCGACCTCCCATAGTCCTTCTCCCCCATGAATGCTGTGTGTGTTGATGAGGGCCGAGTGATAGAATCCTGAGATTAGACGGCGGCCCAATAGTTATTAAGCATACTGCATGCCAATCTGATATCGAGAAACACTCAAATTCTTCATTATGAAACTAATAAATTTAAATTGAATGATTCTTTAATCAACTAAAAGTCCTCTCACATAAAATAGTATAACTCAAGACTAACACATATGAGATCAACTTAAAAATGTGAGGCTGTCCTCTTAATCCATCTATTTTCACCTCATGCACATAAATATTTTCAACAATTCAATTAAATTTTTAATTTTTTTTTCTTCTTCATGCAATTCTATTCCAAATTGAACTCCCAAGCAACATATTTTCAATAAAATATTTAAAAGAAATGTTTGCCAACCCTCATAGTTATTATCCATCTTAGCTTGAGGTTTTGGCCTTTTGGAATGTCTCCTATTTCGCCTCATGATTACTAAGATTCAGATTTTTGAGTACGAAAGAGGAGTGAAAGTTCATGAATTTTACACGCATTTACAAGATTTACATGCTTCGTGCTTAGGTGCTAGTAAGAAACAGTACTAAAACTAGAATGAACAACATTATTCTCCTTTGCTATTCTAATTCAGTTGATCACATTTACGATGCAATTCAAATTGTGTCCGCATAGTTATGATTTCTTTTTCCTTTAAAAATGTCATGCCAAATGATAAGATTATAATGGTTTGTCATACTACAGAATACAGCGGTCAAATGACAAATTGTTGTAGGTTTTGTAGGCCTTACCGATGTTGTGATCATGCAGAGGCGGATCGAGATACTTGCGGCAATCGATGAGGGTGATGACCGAGTAAGTCTCGTAGCGATCATTGTCCCATTGTTTTGATGCACGCGTAGCCACCATTGCTGCAGCTGATAAGGCTCCACACAGCTTAATTCCCCTCTTTCTGCATGCCTGGGATTCAAAAATATTAAAGTTGATATGAACGTCGCAATTAGCAAGAAAGTATCATTTAGCATGGTAAGATGATGATCATACATGCTCTTAAAAAAATCACAAAAAGAAAGTATCATTTAGCATGGTAAGATGATGATCATACATGCTCTTAAAAAAATCACAAAAAATAATCTTCTGTGGATTTCGATCACTAGCAAAAATATCATCAAAATAAATAAATCAAAAACAAAAAATAAAGCTCAAAATTGGTCTTTTACTTAATAGATATAAAATCATCTTTATCATTGATTGCATCGATATATTAGATTAATTAGTCGGAACACAAGTTTACTTATTAAATATTATAATCCTATACTATATTAATAAGATTATAGAATATATATAAGATAATATTATCAAAATAAATATTGTAGTTGAAATAAATAAGAGAATATAATGAAAATGGATGATAGAGACGACAATAAAATGGTAGAGACGTGATAGGAACTAAAGATCAAAGAATATAATATGATTTCCTTCTGTTATATTTTTATAAAAAAATATTTATCTTTGAAAAGAATTTAGACACCTAATATTTTGCTTAGGTATATTGCTGGAAGCTGCTTAGGTTTTCTACTTTCAGAAGTCTTGTTTAGTATAATATATGCGGTGCATATGATATTTATGTGGGAGGAATTGGATCAAGATAATATTTTCTTCACTTGCCCTTTTGCTTGTAAAGTTTAACAAGGATCCAAGAATAGATTAAGAATCAAGTTTTAGGTTTATGATGGGCCTTTGGAGCTTGGGTAAAGAGAGGAGGACCTCACCAATCTACCTGGGTGGACCTCCAGTTTTAGAGCCCTTATTGCTTCTTGTTTCTAGGATAGAAGGCTCGAAATGAGGAACTTTCAAGGCAATGAAGGATGACCTTTGTTGTTCACTCTTTGGGTTTGGCCCGAATATTTTTGTTGGCTGAAAGCCTAAAGTCCTGAAGAAAGAGAGACCCACACGCATAAACAAGAAGAAACACAGCAAGAGAGGAATCAGGAAACCATCTCCATTGTGAACAACAACAATAACCGGATAAGTTGTTTTGAGTTGCATATTTTCTTGGCTGTCCACATCTCTACTCTCCTACCGAAGAAAAGAGCAATTGGAGTGACCACTCATCATCCTATTTGTCAGCCTCTGTAATCCACCAATTTATTTAAATTTCAGTCTAAATTGAATTCGTACATTGTATATCTTAAATATTTTATCTTTATATATACTTTTTAACTGAAAATAAATTTATTATGATTAAAATTGGTTAATCTTACAAACCTTGCTTTTTTATCTTATAGTGTGGGAAACTATCTATCTATCTTAATGCATTGAACAGTGTGAGGATGATCATAGTCCACACTAACCGTAACGGCCTCGCAGGATGGACGGTCTGAGATGAGGGATCAGACAGATCCTACGGTCATAATGCAATGTATAGTGTGCAGTATAAGCAGGGTATCAGAGCGTAAAAGGAAGCAACACAAGAAGAAGAGGCACTCACGGTGAGAAGTTTCTGGGTGTCGTCGGTGCCCAACACCAGCCTCGCCACCTGCGACCGCCGCTCGGAGGCAGCATCCTCGAACCGGAGGGTCGATGTCCTCAGGGCGTTCAACGAGTAGCCGACCAAATCCTTCCCCCGCGCCCAGAACGGCTTCCAGGCGTCCTGCTTCGGAATCAAGTCATCTATCCCCCGATTGAACCCATCCGCCTCTCCGTGGATTCTCTCCCCCGAAGCGTCCATCAAGGCCAGGAGCTCCTTCAGGACCGCCACGGCGGAGGTGCGATCGCAGACCGCGGTGTGAAGCCGGAGCGCGAGGGTGGACCGGCCGGGCTCGGGCATCTCGTAGAGTGTCGCGAAGAGGACCTGGTGAGTCGGGCCCCCGTCGGACCAGGGGTTCTGGTTGAACTCATGCTCTAAGAGGGCGTGGAAGGGCGAAACCGACACCGCCGACGCCGATGCCGGCGGCGGCAGGAGGAGATCGGAGGAGGAGAGGAGCCGGAGGACTTCCGACCGGGGGGTGGCGATGGCGAAGAAGGGGTGTCTGGAGGCGACGGTGACGAGGTGGGCCCGGAGGAGAGGGTGGGAGGATTGGAGCTGGTGGAGAGCGGAATCGAGGAGGGGGCGGGAGACAGGTCGGGAGAGGAGGAGGGCGAGGACAGTGATGCCGGTCCCGCCCTCCACGGCCCGGCACCAGCTGTACTCGGTGCCGCCGACGGGCCGTCCATCGGCGGTCCCGTCGTCCATTCCCGGGGAAAGGGTGGGGGAAAGCTAGAGGAGGGAACTCGATCGATGGCTCGCTTTGGCCGTTCTTATCTTTACCCAAAGAGAGTCTTTTCTTCGTACGTAGCTACTCTCCGTTGAAGCCGCACACTTCTGGAATGGGATATTCTTTTATTTAAAAAAATAAAATAAAAAAAATTCGTTACATCAAATCAAACGACCTATTCGCACATGGAATCCAACTGTAGAATAATATATTAATCAATTCGAATATTTTAATAAAAATAAATATTTTTATTTAAGAATAAAATTTATCTTTACTTCAAAGTCATTCTTTTCCTATGTGGACAATATTAGGGATAGGAATATGAGAGGACGAATTATTGAGGTATGAAATTGTACCAAAATCATCATCATCCAATCAAAATAAGATATATATATATATCATGCTATCCCCACATAAAAATCGATCATATCGATTAACTTACCTAATTCCACCCAATCACTTGACAAGTGCCACATTGCCCAACTTATCGAGCTTTGCTATCAGAATATGACTACGCACTTAACTACAGGACAAACCGAGGGGCAGACGGAAAGAGGTATATTTCACTGTTCTATTCGACACTCACTTCCTTACCGTGTTGTGATTGGGTATAACAGTCGGGATTTTTTTTTTATTCTCACAAGTGCGTCAACTTCTATAAACATCCGAAAGTAAATTTAATTTTAATAATTTATTATAAGATCTTAGATTCGAATCTTATCTTTATTATTATTTTTTTAAAAAAAATAAGTGTCCAAATTGTATGAATTGAATATTTAAGTGGCCGCTTAAATATGCGTGTGTACGTGTTTGATGCTTCCGGAGCCACTTTCCAAGTGAAAGCATTGCTTCCGCATAGCTCGAGTGGGCACGTTGAGAGCCGCTTGAATCAAAATTGAGCAAGTTAGATAATACCGATTTAGACAATTAATGGAGTCGTACAGAAAGAAAAGAAATATTATGATGAGTTTTAATAAATAATTATATATTTATTAATTATATTATTATTATTATTATTAAAGATGATTATGATAATATAGTCACTCGTTTTAGAATGATAGAAAGTTTGACTAATGAGTTTATTATTAATATAAGGTTACATCTATTAAGTTATTACATTTTTTATATTGATGATTAATAAATTTATTTACTATTTATAAGATAGACTTGGATGGTGTATATATTTTTCGTGATGATATTATATTAATTGACTATAGTTTAAATGAAACTAATTCTAAACTTAAGTTAATAAGATAATCTTCAAAAACTAAAGATTTTAGATTAAATATTATTAAAACTAAATATATAAAATATAATTTTAGTTATATTAGGAATAAATATGAGGATATAATTAAGTTAGATTTACAGGAGATTCTATTAAGTAAAAACTTTATACATCTTGAATTAATTATTAAACAAGATGAATAAATTGATTATTCATTGAGTGAAAATAGAATGATTAAGAAGATAAATAACTGTGAAGAGACTTACGTTATGATTAAGAGCGCACTAAGAGGGGGGTGAATTAGTGTAATCGAAAACTTTTACGATTTTAATAATCTTTTTTTCGATTAAAGCCGATTAAACAAGAATGAGTTCAATTCAATTCGTTTCGGAATAAATTTGAGCTTGAAGTCTTAAGTAAAAATGCAAGAAAAGACTAAGGTGATTTATAACAGTGTAAATCACAACAACGTAGATTTCGTAAAGTCTTCGTAGAAAGCCGATCTCGGAACATGTTTTACATTAAAGCGAATGTAGACTTATTTAAAGCACAATAAGAAGGAGAGGCAGTTTGCTATAAAGGAAAGATGCTCAAAGTAAATGCAAATCGAGATTTTAGAGTGGTTCGGTCAATGTGACCTACATCCACTATCGGCTTCCTCCTCCGACGAGATCATCAGCGTCCACTAGAGGCCTTCCTTCAATAGGCGAAGGCCAACCACCCTTTTACACCTTTTCTTCTTTTGCCGGGCTTAGGAGACAACCCTTACAAGTTTTACTTCTCTCTTGAATGATCTCACTTAGAAAAAGGAAGGAGGAGAACTCTAGCTTTTACAATACTTTTAAGGCCTCAATACTCATTTATGGAGCCTAAAAGTGTCCATTCCCGGATTTTCGAGGTCCTGACGGTACCACCGTCATTACTGGGCAATACTACCACCTAACAACGCTCGAATACCGAGCTCAGGCGATACCACCGCTTGACAAGGGTGGTACCACTGCCCAGAATTCCTAGGAGACTGAGTCTCTTGGGCGGTGCCACAGCCGGCCCTAGCGGTGCCGCCGTTGGCTAGGAATTCTGGATCCGAATGGGCTGTTCCATTCGGCCCAATTTAGGTCTGTTAAGGGCCCAATTGGCCCCTAATTAAGTTAGTGGGATTACCTCCCAATCCTAACTTAATCTAAACTCTAATTATGACAATTAAGACATGATTACTACAATTCTTATTTCGGTGCGTCAATCTTACTACGAACCCTCGGCGATGCTCCGACGGACTCCCGGTAAGCTCTTGGACTTCGCGACAATCTTCTTGGCGAGTTCCGATGAGCTTCTTTAGCAAGCTCCTAGACTTCTCGGATGGTTCCCGTAGAACTTCCAACGAACGTTCGGACTTCCGACGAACTCTCGAACTCCCAACATGATCTTAGTCTTGACTCCGGCTCAACACCTGCTGCATGTCTTACTACCATCGTAGTTAATCCTGCATACTTTTCTCAACATATATATTAGATCAATAAATGATAATTGACTACATCATCAAAATCCGAGATTCAACAATCTCCTCATTTTTTATGATGACAATCAATTGATGATGGAGTTAACCTTAACTCCCCTTATCTATATGCCATACTTGAGAAAAGTCATTCTTGAATTCAAAGCCTTTGAATTCAAGAGACATATTGATAAGTTAAGTTCATTTAAACTTATCAATACACCCATCATGATTCCTATTATGATGTAACTTTCTGAAAATGGTGTCAAGGCATGACATCCATTTTCAAATCTTATATTTCAAATATAAAGGATAACAATCATAGTAATTTATTCTATGACAAGATATCAATTTGTAATATTTTAAATTAAGCTCTAGATATCTTATCATAATACAAATATTTCAAGTTTAAAATTGCATACATATAAAATTACATACATTTATCATCAATTTACCACATATTTCTCCCCCTTTGTCAACAACAAAAAGGAGAACGATTCAACAATATATGTAATTATGGTAAAAGTTCATGTCATTTTTCAACTTGTAAAGAAATTCATACCAATTATTTTTCAAGCATTCATGACATGATATCATTCATTAACTTCTTTCCTTTTACTTATCATCAAAACTTTACGTGAAGAAGGAAAGTAAGGAGGAAAAGCCATTGAGAACCAACTTTGAATGAAGTTAAAACGATAAGATAGTTTCATTTAAATCATGCTTCATTTTTCACAAGGATCAAGATATATATGTGAAATTAAATCCTTGCAAGTGTTCATCTCAAAAAAAAAAATCTTCCTTCGTCAAGAAGGAATTCATGTGAAAGAATCATTACATCAAATCCATTTCTCAATCAAAATTCACAAAAGATAAATCCATAAGAGATGCATTTGTCAATTAATTCCATGTATCATTAAGTAATGGAGAATGAAATAAATTTGATATGGCATAGACTCATGAAAGCTCTATTCAAGAAATACATTAAATCCGGAAGAGAAATACAACAAAATTATACATTCAGACAATATTTTGTCATAGCTTTACAATCACAGTCACGAAGGTATAACATGCTCATTATCATGGAAACTTTCAGTACCAAGGCACAAAATTTCCAACATTAAAGTAAACATGTAATACAATCATGTCAAATTCGTATCCTAAAATTTTTAGCATCAAATTTAAGTGAGTGATCGAAGAATCAAGAAAGTCCAAAAACGAAATTTAACAAATTCATGCATTCGGACAAATCAACATTCCTAATTCTCTTCTAATAAAATCAAATTATTTTTCACTTAAAGCTTTTATAAAAATATCAGCTAATTGATGTTTAGTATCAATAAACTCTATGATTACATCATGATTAGTGACATGATCTCGTATAAAATGATGCATAATATCAATATGTTTTGTTCTAGAGTGTTGAATGAGATTCTTTTTTAAACATATTGCACTTGTGTTATCACATTTTATGGAGATATTTTTAAGATAAATCTTATAGTCCTCTAAAGTGTTTTTCATGCACACAGCTTGTTCACAGCATGCACTAGCTGCAATGTACTCAGCTTCGGTTGTAGATAGTGCAACCGAGTTTTGTTTCTTGGATGGCCAAGAAACAAGTGCATGTCCCAAAAATTGACATGCTCCTGATGTACTTTTTCTATCTAGCCTACATCCAGCAAAATCCACATCAACATAAGAAATTAACTCAAAATTCTTGGATTTTAGATACCATAATCCTAGATTTGTGGTTCCTTTAATATATTTAAGTATTCTTTTAACTGCTTTCATATGAGATAACTTAGGATTAGATTGAAACCTAGCGTAAAGTCCTATACTAAACATGATATTCGGTTTAGTTGTAGTGAGGTAAAGTAAACTTCCTATCATACCCCTATAAGTTTTTTGATTAAAAGCTTTCTCCACTTTCATCAATTTCTAACTTAGTGGATGTGCTCATAGGAGTGTTGATAGCTTTTGAGCTATCCATATTAAACCTCTTTAGCAAATCTAAAGCATATTTTGTTTGACTGAGAAAGATGACATTACTTAGTTGTTTGATTTGTAAACCCAAAAAGAAGGTTAATTCTCCCATCAAACTCATTTCAAATTCAAGACTCATACTCTTAGCAAATGATTCATAAAGAGATTCATTCGTGGAACCGAAGATAATATCATCAACATAAATTTGATCAATAAGAAAATTATTTTTAAAATTTTTGATAAAAATGTAGTATCGACCTTGCCTTTAGAGAAATTATTTTCAATAAGAAATGAACTAAGTCTCTCGTACCAAGCCCTTGGGGCTTGTTTTAAACCATAGAGAGCTTTAGTCAATTTAAACACATGATTAGGGAG